ACCTTGATGCGCATGTTTCAAAAGGAAACCGGGCTGTCTTATCGGGCATGGGTTCAGCAAATGCATATTGCCCATGCTTTAAGTAAAATTGCCAGTGGTGAATCCGTTGCGCAGATTGCAAGATCTCTCGGCTACAGTAATCCGAGCGCATTTAGTACCATGTTTAAACGTCATTTGGGACAGACCCCACAACAGTTTAAATATAAGGATGAATAGAACGATACTCGCGCCTAAGCACTCAGGCGATCGACAAATAAAATACCATTGAGATGGTCTATTTCATGTTGCACAATGCGCGCAGGAAAACCTTCAAAAGTGCTTTCCATCACCTCACCAGTCAAAGTGTGATACAGCACCTTAATACTTTGCGCACGCTGTACCTGACCGCGTTCATTCGGCACACTTAAACAGCCTTCTTCACCTAAGGTCGTTGCTTGCGAAAACTCTAAAATTTCAGGATTGACCATCACCACGGCGTCCATTTCAGGCGCATCGGGATAGCGTAAATTTGGCCGTGAAGCCACAATAATGACCCGCTTTGAAATATAGACTTGTGGTGCAGCAATACCCACACCACTCCGCTCCAACATGGTCGCAATCATGGCAGAAGCCAACTGCATGAGCCAGTCGCTATTAAATTCTGCATCTGCGACGCGAGCAGCTTTGAGTCTTAAAATATCTTCACCACGTTGTGCAACAGGTAAAATGACACTCATACACAAATCCTAATTTTTATACCTATTTATTCTTTTTATATCATAAGCTTTTTATCTCGCCTGCGTTATATATTTACGTTGACCGTCAAATCAACGATGTTGATTCATGTATAATTTTTAGTTCAAACCCAGTAAAGAAAGATTGATTATTCATTCAAAAAAGACTTCTTTAAAATCAAATATAAACCTTTATTCAGCTTTGGAAATATACGCATGGATGCAACACCACGTTTGACCAGAGAAGACAAACGTACCCTTGGGCTGTCATCACTCGGTGGTGCACTTGAGTTCTATGACTTTGTTATTTATGTTTTTTACGCCAAAATTATTTCTGAGTTGTTCTTTCCCGCAGGGCTCAGCCCATTTTGGGCCATGCTGAATACTTACGGTATTTTTGCCGCAGGTTACTTCTTCCGTCCACTTGGCGGTGTAGTCATGGCGCACTTTGGCGACCTCATCGGGCGCAAGCGTCTCTTTAGTTTATCTATTTTGCTCATGGCTTTACCTACCCTCATGATCGGAGTTATGCCAACTTTTGAAACGATTGGTTATGCCGCGCCCTTACTCTTGCTCTTTATGCGGGTAATACAAGGCATCGCGATTGGTGGAGAAATTCCAGCGGCATGGACCTTTGTTTCTGAGCATGTCCCCTCTGAAAAAATTGGTTTTGCCAATGGCTTACTTACGGCTGGTTTGTCACTCGGCATCTTGCTCGGTGCTTTAATGTCACTGTTCATTTCTCTTCAGTTTAGTGAAGCAGCTATACATGATTGGGCATGGCGCATTCCCTTTATTGTGGGTGGTATTTTTGGCTTAGTGGCCTTGTATTTACGCAGTTATTTGAAAGAAACCCCAGTATTCAAAGCCATGCAAGCACGTAAAGAGCTGTCTAAAGAAATGCCGGTGAAACAAGTCTTAGCCCGTCATAAAACCGCTGTGGTGATTGGCATGCTCTTGACCTGGTTCTTAACGGCTTGTGTGGTGGTACTGATTTTAGCCATGCCAAACTTACTGACGGGTGCCTTTGGATTTGAACGTAGCGATGCTTTTCAAATGCAAAGTGCTGCGATCATCATGCAAATGCTGGGATGTATACTCGCTGGGACATTAGCTGATCGCTTTGGTGCAGCCAAGGTCTTGATTTTTGGCTCGCTCGGTGTCGCCGCTATCGCAACCATTTTCTATCACAGTTTAGGTGTGGTCACTCCAACTACGGTGTTTGCACTGTATATGCTTTTGGGATTCTTTTCAGGCACAGTTGGGCTTGTGTCCTATAGCATGGTCAAAATGTTCCCTGCTCCGATCCGCTTTTCGGGCATTTCGTTTTCCTACAATGTCGCCTATGCCATTGCAGGAGGCATCACACTGCCTTTGGTTCAATGGCTCAGTCTCTATAGCAACATTGGCGCGATGTATTATATTTGGCTGGTCTGTTTGGTTTGCTTCTTCACAGCTTTGGTTTATCGAGCTCAGTTCGAGACGAAGCACTAAAATGATAAAACCCTTCAATCGAAGGGTTTTCTTTTTATGCAACCTACTTTGAAAACATGAGGTCAAAACCTTTAGCTTAAAGTTTCTGCATGCAAATTTTGGCGCAGTTCATCTTCCACAATATCAAGCTCAATTTGGCTAAACTTACGAATTTCGCCTTCAGCATGTTTTTCTAACATACCGCCAATTAGTGGCACTTTCACTTTTACCGTCCACTCCAGTTGAAAGTGAATCTGCTCATCATTACCCGATACACTACGTTGACACACAGCTTCTAAAGGTAAGTTGGGGTCTAAACGGACTTCCGAGCTGAGCACAACTAAATTGCTGACGTCGGTACGTTGTAAACGAAAGGCATCTTTTAGAAATTTCTTCGCAATATCGGGAATATTGACATCCAAATTATACGCGCGCTTGAGGGTATAAATATCGCCGACTTTATTCGACTCCAAAATTTCCAACTTCTCACCGGGAATACGACGACAAACATTTTCATGTAAGCTGATATCGGCTGCGAGTCGACGGAAGTCATCCAATGAAACACCTTTGATGGTGGCATTGACTACAAACTGATGTGCCATAGCATTAAATCCTTTATTTTTTGTTTTTGTAAACATCCATGCCCTGATCAGGACTGAAAAACTGGATCTCGTCATCCTGTAGAAGGGTCAAATATAGACGATGCTCCAGCACCGACTATACCGTGATCTAGATTTCAATGTGTGCCATTCTGTATGACAATATCATCTGCAATATGAATAAAAACCACGCGCTCAAAACAGGCCAAGCGAATATCAAAATGCTCGGCCCCATCATCCAGTCCTGTGACCGCCCAACTTGCACTACTGGGTAAGTCATCCAGCCAAGTGGCCTGATAAAAATCAGCAACCGAAGCAAAGTCCAAATATTGCTGTGGACTTCCCTTTAACCGTTCGATGACCGACTCAAATTGAGCCAATTGTGTGTGTTTAAAATCAATCAACACTACCTAGCCTATACACTTTTGAGCTGTTGTTTATGACGTACCTGAGTCCATTGCCACCAGCCAAAAGCCGCCAAGCCAACAAAGCCTGCATATAAAGCCGCGGTTAGGAACAAATCTTTATAGATAAACATACCGACATAAACAATATCGACAAATACCCACAGCACCCACGTCGCAATATGTTTACGACTGGTCCAATAGGTCGCCAACAGACTAAACGCTGCGAGCTGCGCATCCAATAGCGGTACAGCAGCATCGGTCAAATACTTTAAGCTCAGGCCAAATACTGCACCAGCCGCAGCGGCAAGTAGCATTTGCAAAATCACTTGCCGAGCTGTAATCGGTTCAATCCGAATATCATGATCTTGTTGTTTACCTTTGAGCCAGTGATAAAAACCGTAAAAGTTCACCACCACAAAGAAAAACTGCAAAATGGTTTCGCCATATAACTTATAGGTATAAAACAAATAGGCATATAACAAGAAAGCAGCGAAGTTAAACCACCAACACCACATATTGCGCTTAATGGTCAACGTCACCCCAATTAAGCTAATGATGACTGCAAATATTTCAAGGCTAGACATGGTTCAACTGGTATTCAAAGAAGTGCTGCTATTATGAAAAAAAACTCAATAAAGGCAAGACAATTCCGCTCAATCTAAACGTCGTTTTTTCGGGGAATCGGATCAAACTGTCGAGTCACAGAATGAATACGCATAAGTTTTGACAGTTTTCTAACAATCGTTTAAAAACTTATAAAACGATGCAGGAATAATCAAAATGTCAGAACAACAAGGTCGTGTCAGTCGCGAAGTTCGCGGTTCGTTATTTTTAATTGGTTTAGATCGCGCAGCCAAGCGCAATGCTTTCGATAGTCATATGATTCATGACTTATCACTGGCCCTTACCGAATATGAGGATGATCCTTCACTGCGCTGTGCTGTAATTTTTGCGCACGGAGAACACTTTACTGCTGGGCTTGATTTGGTTGAGTTGCAACCCAAACTCACTGCAGGCGTTTTCGACTTTCCCGCGTCACAAATTAACCCTTGGGGCACCAGTTCCAGACCTCGCACCAAACCCGTGGTTGTGGCAGTCCAAGGCTTTTGCTTTACCGCGGGAATTGAACTGATGCTCAATGCCGATGTGGTGATTGCCGATGCCAATACACAATTTGCCCAAATGGAAGTACAGCGCGGCATTTTACCCTTTGGCGGTGCAACGGTTCGCTTTGTACAAGCGGCGGGTTGGAACAAGGCTATGCGCTATCTACTCACAGGTGACAGCTTCAATGCGCAAGTAGCTCTCGATCTCAATTTAATTACCGAGGTCGTAGAAGCATCTACGCCAAATGCTGCATTAGAGCGAGCATTGAGCCTTGCAGAATCAATTGCACAAGCTGCTCCACTCGCCGTTCAAGCCACGCTGGCTTCTGCACAACAAGCAGTACAACACGGCGCAGACTATGCCTTTGCACATTTACAAGAGCACCTCAGCCCGCTACTCAAAACCCAAGATGTCCAAGAAGGTGTCATGGCAATGCTGCAACGCCGCCCTGCTCAGTTTAAAGGACAGTAAAGC